ATTTGCCAACAATAAAAACATATCTCCAACGATTAATACGTAGTTTTTTTCAATAAACAACATGTTTACCGATGCAAAGTCGTAAAATTAAACACATTTTGCTATTTGATTACGCCGAGAACCGAGTTAAAAATAATATTGTTGCTGTAGGTCAAGAATTGCGCCAATGCAACATTAGATACTGTTTGTTTCTTTATATGCTCCCTATCTTCGTTGTTTTCACTTTCACAATGGCATTTTTTGTTTACTTACATGCACCGCAAATTTCCCGTTATTTTGATACCCCACAACCCATATTTTTCTTTAAAAATAACCCAAAAATCAATTAAAACACTTTTAACCTCAGTTAGCCATGACATATGACGTTTCTGCCTGTATTTCTTTTGTTTTTCATTTTAACCCCACCGACCAACACCTCAAATGAAAGCCCCTTTGATTCCCCACCCGATAGTCATAGAATGTACAGGGTGTTGTGGCGTATAATGCCCTTTCGATATTTAAATAAAAAAATTAAATGTTAAATCCGACCCTGTGCACAACAAAATAATTAAAAATTATTTCCACAGCCCAATTTCGTATGCAATTAACTTCTAAAAAACTCGTTTTGTCGACACACACCGAATGATGATGAAAACTTTATAAATAGCATGTGAATTTTTACGTCGAAAATAATAAACACTTTAATAATAAACCTATCGACTAATGTGCATCGGCATGTATTTCAGATAGGTCAGTTTAAACGGATCAATGCCACGGAGTAATTAATAACCCATAAAAAGTTATATTTAACTTTATCGGGTTTATTGTTTAAAACACCTTGTATATTTTATTTTTATCGGATGGGGATTTTAAATACCTTTTATTTGAGTGGTTACTCGGCATACTTAAATCGAAAAATAATCGAGATATATTAAAAAACTAATTATTAACCTAAAAAAATTTATATTTAACTTTATCGGGTTTATTGTTTAAAACACCTTGTATATTTTATTTTTATCGGATGGGGATTTTAAATACCTTTTATTTGAGTGGTTACTCGGCATAGTTAAATCGAAAAACAATCGAGATATGTTGGAAAACTACATTTTCCATGGCAACTATGATGAACTGGTATTTCATTGATTATTGGGGTTATTTCTGATCAAAGTAGGCGTTATTATACATCAAATGAAAGGTATTTTCACGGTCTAACCGAAAGTACATAAAAATAAACCATAGGATTATAAAAACGAATGCAGCATTAATTTTTTTGTTAAGCGTGACATAAGCGGTTCAGTTCGTGCCGTTTTTGTCGTTGAGATATTACGGGTTTGTCACGTAACGATTAAACCGTCTACGAAATCGGTATTGCTGGAATGATCCCCCAGAACAAAACATAGATACGTAGATACATGATTTCACTAAAACCTAAAATTAGTTAACATTCAAAATAAATTCATGAAATTCGTAATTGAATTTATTCATTTGATTGTGAAGGATGTGTGACCAGGGAGATTTATATACATTTTCTTGTTTACATACATACATATGTATGAAAATTAATTGTATCTGAATAATGTATGGATTACAGACTTAACAGTTTTCATCAGCATATATTTTTGACTATAAAATTAAATATTATTTAGAAAAAATCATGGACATTTCAAATTATAATCTTTAATCTATGTAAGTCAAGAAAAAACATAAAAAGTAAAATCTAATTTCCTCTCCTAAAAAGAAAAAGAAAAGAACAGTCGTTGGATTTGGCAGCGTCTGACTGTCACATTCGCCGTCTTGCGTACTCCTTGGAATTAGTTTTTCCCCCATGCCACTCTGATCCAGATTAAAGCTACTCGTATAATGCATATTTGATGCGGAAAGGACGGTTTAATTCTTTATGCTGCCATACTTGGCAACATCGCGTGGGGAATTAAATTTCCGTTCGTTTGATAGGTGACTCGATATACTTTGCAATAAAAACAAAAGAGATGTAAAGAAAAATGTAATTTTACAAGGATGACTAGATTAAAGTTTTCATAGCGATTTTTAGGTTATTTTTAAGGCAAAGTAGGCGGTGTTATACATCAAATTAAAGAGAATTTTACGTCCTATTAGAATATGTAAAAATATACAATGTATAGAAATTATTCATTATTTTTAACGTGCATTGTTGATAACATCGGATGGGGAATTAAATTTCCTTTCATTCGATAGGTGACACGATATACTTTGCAATAAAAACAAAAGAGATATAAAGAAAAATGTAATTTTACAAGGATGACTAGATTAAAGTGTTCTTAGCGATTTTTAGGTTATTTTTAAGGCAAAGTAGGCGGTGTTATACATCAAATTAAAGAGAATTTTACGTCCTATTAGAATATGTAAAAATATACAGTGTATGGAAATTATTAATTATTTTTAACGTGCATTTTTGTCAAAATCAGATAAGGAATTAAATTTCCTTTCGTTTGATAGGTGACACGATATACTTTGCAATAAAAACAAAAGAGATATAAAGAAAAATGTAAATTTACAAGGATTACTAGATTAAAGTGTTTATAGCGATTTTTAGGTTATTTTTAAGGCAAAGTAGGCGGTGTTATATATCGAATTTAAGGGAATTTTATGGCCTTTTTAAATATGTTAAAATATACGGTGTACTTTAAAAAATAACGATAACATGTTGTGTTAGCTGTCCAATTAGTCGAAAATATTTCACCGGAAACGTAAAGATACCGATGCAAATTTAAGTTGGGAACTTGGCAATTAAAATGAAAAAAAAAAATAACTGTTTTTGTTATGAAGATATTCTTTTAGATATTAAAAAATGTTTGTGTGCGTGGATTTGATAAGTAAATTGTTAGATTGGGTCGAAAAACAAACTCCACTAAGTCTCATTTGTCGGGATGAGTATCATACGTGTCCAGCGTTCATTTGGAGATTGTGGAAAGCGATTTACTCAAGTCGGAAGCAATTTAGAGGGCACTGGATTTTATCTGTGTTCTTTCTGAGCCATTTAACTAAAAGAGACAGACACTTACGCTGCTTAATCTGCCATATATATATAATAATACGTGATAGTCAGATATTAGAAACAAAAAATCAATGTTTTTAGACGAAAATAAAAATTATTGTAGTGATGCAGGAGGGGCCCTCGAAAAAAATTTGGAGGCGCAATTTTTTTTTGATGTTCTTGCCAAAGCAGACATCCGTGGGTGTCTAAGAAGTTGAACGTTCTCTCGGGTGAAAAAATTATTTTAATTTATGATGTTTGCAATTTTAAAGGTAAAATGATTATGTTATTTTATTAGAAACATGTGTCAACAATTTCGGAAAATCTAGAAAAATGTTCCTTAATATCATTTTTTCGTTTAGGATGTTAAATTGAGCAAAATAACTTCTTGTACAACGATTTTTCTAGAAATATTGACAGGATATTAAATTATAAACCAATTTCCCAAAATAATAATTTAATAACATTTCGTTAGTACCTAAACACTAGTCTGGCTAAATAGGGCATGTAAAGCCTTATTGGGGGGAAAATGTGTGTGGTTGACCTTAATACAATTTTTCTTCATTTAATATATGGGACGACAAATTTTATTTATTATAAAAGGCAGTATTTTTATAAGGCTCTTAAAATGAAAAAAAAAAATATTTCGTAAATGTTAAACAGAATATAAAATAATATTTATAAAATTTTTCAGTTTTTTTTACTTGTTTGGTAATAAAAAAAATTATTGCGCAACTCGCAACATTAATTTATTCTTTACAGCGGTAATTTTTTCTCAAGAACATCTGTTTTAACATCACTCAGCTACTCACAATCAGTTAATTAGATAGACTAATCGAAAACTAACTTTATTCGGCGGTTACCAAGGTTACCACAGAAAAACGTTCATCAGGTGTACCAACATGACCAGCAGACAAAGAGTTTTACCATTATACAGGGTCATCAATAATTATTGTTTTGCGAAAAGTTATTTTTAATAGAAAAATGAATAAAATATTTTGTCAATGCATTTCTGATTAAATCCGGCAACAGGGCGGTGCAGATTACACGTGTCCAAACATGTTTTTCCTTTTTATTTCCGGGGTTAGTTTTCAGGGCCGATCCCGGCCCCCTGGGGGCGCACTACGCATATCACATGTCCTTCCGCCCGCTGTTTTATTAGATTTAACGCCAATATGCGAAATGATTGAGTTTTCCGACTAATACATTATTTCCATTAATGTGCTTAGTAGATTTAATATCGAAAAAAGCAATTTGGCTAGAAAATGCATCAGAGAAAAACATTTTTTACTGACACAACATTCTATAACCTAAGTAAAATGTAATTTGCCATCATTGTATCAAAGAATAATTTTTAAACACTAAATTAATCATTTTTAAACATAAATGACATTCGTGACCTTGAGACGCTATTTCCAAAAAACGCACTATAAAATGTTATAAAACCAAAACACTACTTATACGAACAAATCAGCGGTATCTACCAACAACATTAACTTTCACTATCAAAAATATTTTAACTCTTAACATTATTTAACATCAAATTTACGCAACAAACACATTTTTCCCGAATATTAGACGTGACGTAATTGTCGCAGCCTTCTTCGTGTAAAAATCAAACCGTCATTCTATGTAATAATGACATTAATTTTGTCTTGAGTTGAACTGATTCCAATAAGACGTCTTTCAATGATCTATTTAGATTAGATAACCTTTTTATTAAAAATATCTCGTCTTGTGACAATGAAAATGTACGTACAACGTAAACATGCGTTTGTTTATGCGATTTTGTTGTTATTTTTCACTACATACTGTCGTTTTTAGCGCCTACGTCACTGAAAGTATCGAGAATGAATTCAATACAAACAAAATCACGAATAGATACGTATTTATTTGGACTGTTGGTAACCTAACCTAACCTTTTTACCACCGACGATTTTAACAGTTTTTGGGGTTTTTTAAAGCGCAAATTCCACGATGAGTAATTTTATAAGCAGCAGCTTCTTACCTGATTGATTAAAAGTCATACTGGTATCCAAAATACAGCTTTTTGAAGCCAAACAATTTCAAGGTCTTGTGATTTCAAAACATGGCAAAATGTCATCGATTTACCATGAAATTAATGCATCACTGCACGTATTTTCACCGGAAAACACCCGAGTTGCACTCAAATCGCCCGGACGCAGAAAATTTCACGCGAAAACACAGAAAAACACGAAAAAATATCACACGTATCAGAAAAGAATGTTTTCAACATGGCCGACTCGAAAACTCGGCTATTTCAGAAGGATTTGTTGACCCTGGTGTAGCGAGCCGTCCCATTGGTCCGAGCAACGCGCCGGCCACTCTCATTGGCCGCATTCAAGGTTATGGGCAAAACGTTACTGTGCACCTGTCATCCAACCAATTATTTCACCAAAAATACGCTCGAAACATCCTGAAAACTCTACAAATACACGAAAAATACCGCAAAAAATACTATTCGTACGTTCTTGATAATAAATAACTTAGATTAAGGGCGTTTTTATCAGTTTTAAGTGACATTTACCCTGATGAGCGCCATCTGTGATGCATTTTGTGTACTTTAAGTTATTGAAAGTCAGCTGCGGCAAATTTAAACCAAATAAAAGTGAAATTACGTGGAGGAAAGTGAATTTACCTTTGATCATTCGAAGCCCCCTCATTCCCCACATAAAATACGCAGGCTGCGTTAAAGGCATCCATTAATTTTTGACAGTCTTCAACCTAAAACTCACAAACCACTTCAAAAACGTCACAAAACACGCGAATAACGTTCATACGACTGGAAAACATCGTCAATAACGCGCTTTTCTTGGATGTTTTGCTGTTTTGCAGTGCTGTTAAGACGTTTTAGAGTTGTCTCAAGCAAAAATACATCGGCCGGATTATTGAGAAATTGTGTTATTTCCATGCGCCCCAGTATGCTTGACAACACTGTTGCTAGGCAACCAACACAACGCGTCACTATCCATTTCACAGAGCAGGCCGCGGCGAGCTGTCGTTTGTTGGCTTGTCAAAGCAACCCCTGATGTTTTTTTAATGATCTACAAAGTACTACTGTGAAAGTAGAGTCTACACCATAGAAAAAGTATATACACTTTAAATTTATTACAGGTTTTGTCTGCGCTGTTAAAAGGAAGTTTTAAAAAAACATTGTTTAAAAGAAGACTAAAAAGAACAAACTATAAAAAAAAATAGGTTATTAACTTGTCAAACTAATAACAGACTCTGTTAAACAGGGTTGTTTGATGTTTTTAATAACATTAATTTGATGTTGGAAACAAACAAAAATAAACTTTTTTATTACAATATATATATTATAATTTTAAATCATTTTGTGCAAAATGACGCAATTATTTTGCATATCAAGTTTCACTAAATGGCGTAATACATTTGGCAACACCCTTTAAATCTGAAGATTTGTCAAAAAATTACTTGTCAATTTTAATTTTTTTTTAAACGTAAAATTTTTTTTTTCTCTTTCACTAAGTAAATTAAACACATTCAAAGCAATCGAATCAAATATAAAATATTATTAAAAATTAAAAGAAATAATTTTTATAACCATTTATGTAGGTGTTACAAAAATTGATTCTATCCTCCGTGAATCTGTTTTTGCTTTAAATTTTATGCAACGGATGGCGCTTTAATCATTTTAAATAAGCAGAAACCTCTGTCTACGACATTATAGATGCATGTGATTCCTGATGTCAGTTAGAATTTATATGCAGAGTGTTGCTGTTTTATAATTCAAAAGTTTAATTTCATTAATTTGCTATTTAAAAACCTATCCACCGTGAAGTGTAATATCTCAGTAAGTAGATTTTTTTATGAATATTTTATGTATGTACAATTGTATTTTTTTTTAATATTAAGGTGTCAAAAGATACAATAATTTATTTCAAATATACAAAGGGATTAAAAAAAACGAAATCCTAACCTCCGTGAAGCTCTAATATGGGACATCTCAAAATATTCACCCTAATATGAAAAATAAAAAACATGTTTTAACCACAAATTTTATTAATTTAATAAATATCATAATTTTAAGAGATACACTGTTTTTCGAATAGTATTGATTGAGATTGTCTATTAGAAGCAGAACATTAATATAACATCATTATTGACAAAAACATGCAAAAAGAATTAATCTTAACATTATTATTTTTTATTCCAGATGAAGCTCATCTTTGGTCAACTAGTTTATTTAATCCTTAAATATCTTAACAGTATTACCTAAATCACAACAATATAATTACCTAACAGTTAATAATTATATAATAATATAAATAAAATTGAAATCCAAAAAAATAAAAAGGAAATTCTATAGTCTAGGTAGGTACAAAATAATTTATACACACAACAAGTGGTAGAAAATAAAAATGACTAACAATTTCTGCCATCGAACGGTTGGTTAATATTTAATATTCGCCTAAAATTAACGATTATAATTTAAATACGAAAAGATTCATTGGTAGTGACTAGTAGCGCCATCTCTCGACACTCACTCGCGTTGGCGCGTAGATATGGCAAGCGCGCGCCACGGCCTCCTCTCCATTCGTTGAATATCGCTGTAGGAGCGCTCTGTAAATGTAAAACAACAAAACCCCGTTAGATGGCGCTGCATGTTTCAAGTCGAATTTAACTTTTAAAAAGGCGATTTTTACCTCTAAACTTGATGTATTGGCATTGCGAGTCGGGAATACTTTTCGCCGGCAGTGGTTGGGAGTCTCTCGACGATCTAAAAGAATTTTGGGCCCTTAGAGACGGCGATTGTATGCACAAAACGTCCTGGTTCATTCTGTACGATGTTACTGAGGGGGCCCCCAAGGTGCTGTCATCGTACGAATTTATATCGATGTCTGTTAGTACTAAAACAATAAGAAAAATAGGTAATGCATGATACATATTTTTGAAGCGTAGGAATAAAAAAGTGACAGACGACCCTTGTCAAACGAAATGACAGTTATACATGTTGAACAAATGTTTTTTAAGTTATTTATACTAAAAACCATGTAAATTTTATGAAAAATGCTGCATTATAAAGACTTTAACTACTAGAATAAAAGAATAGTTGTAAATAATTCAGAATATGAGGAAAATTTGGATCTATTTTTAGACGCGTAGGAATACAAAGTGACAGTCAACCCCTCAAGCTAAATGACAGTTATTTGTGAAACAAATCCTGCATAGGTATTTTATGAAAAATTCTGCATAATAAAGACTAACAGCTAGAATAAAAGGTAGGACATTATTTAACTTATTTTATTGTTGTTTTTTGTACCTAACACAGAACAAACCTACTTAAATTGTCGTGAAATTCCAAGGAAATAAAAAACTCAATTACGTAAACTTCCTGTAACAGGGCAATTAAGATTTTAAACCAATCGATTTTTTATTGATCAATCTTTGATTACATTTAAGGTTGCCATTTTTTCAATGCAATATTATCATAATAAAATGACGCAAGATTTTAAGGTTGAATAATTTGTTTCAAGAACAAATAAATGCTCAAACACTTGCTAAATCGTGACTAATACCCGCTGGTTTGTTTTAATATACAGGGTGTTTGTGTACTGTGTTTGTAAACTCTTTTGAAACAACATAAAAATATCTAAATTTTTGTCTTTGAAAAATGGTTGTTGGGATGATAATTTAAATGAGGCGGCTAAGGTTTACACGGTTGACAGATGTATTTTGACAGTTGTGAGATTTTATTTATTTATTTTTTTTTAAACTTTTATTAAAAGAGAAGCATGAAGAGATAACTTCAATTCACGCTCTATAAAAATATATATTTTTGTAAGTATATTTTTTGAATTAAAAAATAACTAAACCATTTAAAAATCCAAACTAAACTAACTGCCGAATTTAGTATAAAATGTTGGTAGGTCTTTAACCTCTGTTTTTTATTTCGTCTCTCCCCTTTAAAAAGATTCTTTTAGGCATATAATTCGCAAAATTTAAACGTTTTTTGTCCAAACTCCATTTTAAAAGTCTAGACTCGATTTGATGGATTTGATAGAATAACAAGTACCTAGCTTTGTTGACTAAATTAAACAGTTTTTTTATTTTAATTAACTGTATTGTCGACGATATGTATTGAATTTTTTGTACACATTTTTTTAAAATTTTATAGTTATTACACACGGTTTTTTTCATTCATCAATTTAATTAATATTTCATTACCTTTAAAACATATGGTATAATTATATATTTCTAATTAAGTATGGACTTTTGCAAAACGCATATTAGTTTAATTAATTAATGGCCCTGGGGCAATAATTTGACTAAATTAATTCATAAAATTACATAGGTATACATATGTATATTTGATACATTTGAGTGACCTAATTTTTCAAACTAATTTTTTTTAAGATGTAACGCGTCAGCAGGGTTGCCGTTTCTACGGGTAAATCCGTAGATCTACGGATTTCAGGTATGAATAGACGCACAGTAGCATAAATGTATAAATGGTAGGACAAATTTGCACACTGCTTCAAAATAAAAAAAATATTATTTTTTGTAGCAATTTAACATTTTTAAGAATTATTAATAAATTTTATCATTTACAATTTTTTAATATTTTTAAATTTCTACGATTTAAAGAAAATTTTATTATTTTCTATTATAGACAACAGGGGGTAACTTTAAAATTCCAATGGAACACCCTATTTTTTTACGTAGATTTTGTCTAAAACATTTTTCATATTTATAATCAATTTTGTTCGATTTTTCGTCTTCTGCAATAATTTTTCTACAAAAATATCACGTTTTTGGTAATAATTATCTTATTAAATTAAATCTGATTTTTTAAGTAGGTACCCACGATTTTAAACTAATATTTAAGTTTCCTTTGGTTTAAGTTTTATACATTATTCAGTGATAATTATCAAATGCGCACTATGGTCACTTTTTACCTGCCAGCATTAAACCCTTTAATTTAAAGGATTATTGTACTATTTTTAATAAAAAATACCTCATTTAAGGTAAAAAAACGTTATTTTGTCAATTAATTAATTTAATCCTAATTGAGGTATAAAAAATGGTATTTAGTTATAAATAATAATTGTTATTGAGGTATAAAGAAACTATTTATAGTTTAGCATTATTTAATCAATTTAGTTCGAAGATTAATTTGCAAACAAAAAGACCTCCTTTCGTTAAGCAGTTATTCACAATGGATTTTTTAACAGTGGAAGAAAAAATAGAAATGATTTTGATTTATGGAGAAGCAGGCAGGAATCTTGATGATGCTGTTAATATCTACGCTCAGCGTTTTCCGGAAAAAATTCGATCGCGTACTTCATTTCAATATAAAAGATATTAAATTTTGGACAACTTTTTACGAATTAATCCCGGCGCATCCGCCATTTTTGCAAGTTCTATATTTTTTGTTTCAATAATTTCTAAATTTAAATTTACTTCGTTTTCTAAAAATCTCTATGGATGTAGTTTTCTCCGATTTTCTTTTAGATCTTTATAATTAACCGTATAACGAACTAACCATATTTTAATTACTAAATAATAGTTCTACAAATTCCTTGAATACATCATTTGTAGTAAAGTTGTATACGCTCATTACTCGCTGTAATCATAGTAGAGGCAGCAGCTTGGTAGCGGCATTAGAAAATAGAATAATAAAACAATCTAGTAAAGAAATAACGAGCACCTAGCTTGTGCCTATATTTTAGATTTAAAACCCGTTACTGTATAAAACATATTGAACTGCAAATGAGATTCACTCTGTTGCACTGAAACAGTGTTGCCAAAGTTGGTAGTTTTCAACAAATCTTACTTTGAAAAATTAGTAGATCTACCACCTATATTTTTCGAGTATTCCAGAGACTCCAAAGTAAGAAATCTGGCACTTTAAATTTATTTTTTGAAGGATACAAAATATTTTAAGTATTTTTATAAAAAAAACAATAATAAAGCAGAATTACAGATTGCCAATATTCAAAATAAGAATAGAAAAAAGTCTAAAATTAAAGAACGACTTTTTTCTATTTCATTTTCAAATTTGTTCCCTTTTGCTTCTAATCCCTTTAATTATAAATATATTTATAATTAAAGGGATTAGAAGCAAAAAGGTACAAATTTGAAAATGGAAAAAAGTTAAAATATAAGAAAAAAGTATAGCTTTTTTATTAATCTAATTTTTAAAAGAATACATATTTTGATTGAATAATTTATAACATTGGTAGATTTTTCTTGCAAAGTAGTAGAGTAGTAGAGCAAGACACTAAAAGTTGGTAGATCTACCGGAAATTTGGTAGAGTTGGCAACCCTGCACTGAAAACCGTTTGCTTTAACTATGAGCATGGCTTAAATTAGAATTTTCTCATTTTAAGTTAAAAAATAATAACGAAGGTACTTACGCGACAGTCTGTTGTCGAGCGTCGGATTTTCCCAGTCGTCCTCGTGGGGCGTCCATTCGCCGCCGCGACGCCTCAAAACGACGGCCGGCTCGCTCTGCTCCTGTCTGGAAGAGGCGGTGGTGCTCACGCTGTCAGAGACGTTCATACGCTGACCCATCGCTAGAAAAAAAAAATATTTTTTTTTATTTGGCACGTTTTATTTTTTTGGCTTATATACTATCGGAATACTGCAACAGCGGTGAGATGTAAGATTTTTGTCGATTCTGGTAAAATCAGTTTAAACTAAATTTGTATTAATCGTTTTTTGAGATCAAAAGCAATCTCTGGAAAAAAAATTATAATTTTTTTTTGTTAGCACGTTTTATTTTTTTGGTTTATATACCATAGAAATACTGCAACTGCTGTGAGATGTAAGATTTTTGTTGATTCTGGTAAAATCAGTTCAAACGAAATTTGTATTAATCGTTTTTGTGAAATGAAAAGCAATATTGCAAAATTTAGAAAAATACTGAATTTCCTTCCACATAAATCTGAAATTATCAGGAAATGAGATTTATGTGATTTTTCACCAAATCTGGGAAGAAATGGATTCGGCAACTTTGCATTATAATTTTGCTATTTTCTCTTCTATAGAAGAGAAAATAGCAAAAATGGCAACAACAGACTTTAAAAATTATAAAATAAAGTTTTAGGACGTTTAGAATGAAAAACATTCGGAAAACGTTAAAAATAACGAGAAAATCAGATTTTTGTGATTTTTCACCAAATATGGGTAAAATGGATTTGGCAACGTTGCACGAGAAGAGAAAGTAGCAACCAGGTTTTTTCAAATTGTTATATTAAGTTTTAGGATGTTTGGAATAAAAACAATGTTGCCAAATTTGCTTTTCAGCCAAACCTGAAATAATCAAAAAATGAGATTTAGTAATTTTCCCCAAAACTGGGAAAAATTGATTTGGCAACGTTGCCCCAAAAGTGAAACTACACATTTTAAAAATTCTAATAACAAGTTTTAGGGTTTAAAAAATTGTATTAATCGTTTTTGTGAAATGAAAAGCAATGTTGCAAAATTTACAAAATCCGAGGTTGCCAAATTTAAATTTTCATTCTTTTATATTTTGACTTTAGTTACTGTTCGTATGTAACTCAACGATTCCAATTGTCTAGAAGGATCAGGAGGGCCAACTGCTCCGCAGAGTAAAATATACATAAGGAGATAGAGAGAAACGGGTAGGTTTGTAAATTTGCACAGTCCCTTATTAGGTTATGCGATGCTCTGTGTTCATATAAAACCGAGTGGGGATTATCTTCCAGGAAACTCCATTATGGAGGGACCAACAGATTGAAAACTTGGTCCAAACACTCGCGGGAGACCTATCCAGATTAATTGGAAGCTCTATCGCCAAGATAATATGTTACAATAATATGTTTGCTTTTTTAAATTAATCTGGCAACGTTGCTCTAAATTTGAAAGTCCTTTTTATAGCAAAAAACAATCCCTATAAAAAAAAGTACACGGTACACAAAATGTAGACGAAATATGTTGACTGTGGCAGTAGTGATAAAAGTGCATGGCACGATATTTTTGCGACTGGGAGACGGGTCGTGGAAATCGATGCTCCGACGGCGGGAGAAAAGGGGCGGCAGACGGGGCGGGATGCAACGGCGGCTCAGACAATAAAGGAATCAATTAAAAATGCAGACTCAGACGCTATTGTCATCGTGTAAATGCACCATTAATTGATGCACCGCTTTTTGGATCTCTGAGGGAATACTCGAGATTAAAAATGTATTTTTTTTGTAGTTAAAGTTCTTCGTATTTTTTTTATTAACATGACCGTCTACAGTAAAAAAATAGCAACATAAATTTGTCTATTATTAAACTTTTACCTAAAATTCACAACATGGGCATACTTTTAATTTTGAGCACATGAAAAAAAGTATGCGACGGTCATGTTAAAAATTTGTTTATTTTTTATTTAAAACCATTTTAAGTTTTATTTTATGCATATAAAGCACTTTCGAACAATTTTTTTTTCAAAATTAAATCAGAATCTTAAGATACTACCACATAACTTATTTATATTGTTGTTAAAGGTCAGTGATTTAAATTGTTATCATTTTTATATCGATTAATGTTTCACGGTCTTGCGAGTGCATATTTATCAGCGACAATTATTGACTTATTCTTGTATGCGATTTAAAAACGACCTCTTGATTTACGATATATGCGATAAGCACGATCTCTAAGAGTTTTTTGAGGGTTTTTTTTGTCGCTGAATGAGTGGTTTAGTGGGCGAGTTGCACGTATCAGGGAATATCGATTTTATCGTTATCCACAAATCTAATTATCTCAATTCACACGATATGCTCCTTCTCTCCTGCGTACTGTTTTTAAAGTGTACAGTGTAGTAGGCATAGTTTTTTAAACAACAAGTTGGTTCACATGGTCCCAATTTAAAAAAAAAAGTCAAGTGGTGCTAAATCGGAATTTTTAGTGGCCGAATTTTTAGATTCTGGTAAAATGATTATCTTTAAACCCAGACATATAAACCTAAAGGCAACGTCTATGCGATTTATCACCGTTGCCACCCGTAAGGCAAATCTGACAACCTCTTTACCCCAACAGACGTAATACCGTGAGAAAACGTATTACTTTGCTACGAAATTGCCAGGGCAAACGAACCGAATTTAACCGCCGTTTTAAATTTTATTCCGCTAATGGATTTCATGTTGCGGCTGCCAAATCGCAAAAGTCGATACAAGACATTTTATATTCATTTTTATTATACAGGGTGTACCATCATACCCTTAAAAATTATGACGACTTACGTATTTTTTGTCGGGCAGCCAGCCACTCGTCCAGCGTTGCCGTTATGTTGTTGTTCGTGGGTTTACCATCGTGAGAAAATCTTAGAGCTCGCCTTCGCTCTTTGCTGGTCAACATGCATTCCTCCAGCAATTCGAACCAATCTTCCAGACCGTCTGCCGACCGCAGATATATTTTTCCGTCCCTACCCAGCACTAGCGCCACGGTGCTGTAGGTTTTTTTGTTCTCCCACTCCACTCTATCCACATCGACCTGAAATTATCGAAAAATGTGATTTTCCCCAAAACTGGGAAAAATTGATTTGGCAACGTTGCTTCATAGTTTTTAAACATTCTAATATCAAGTTTTAGGGTGTTAAGTATAAAAACGTTAAAAATATTGAGGAAATATATTTAAAACAGTGTTGCCAAATTCAAACTCAAATTGATTTGGCAACGTTGCTTCATAATTTAAAAAAAAAATTATATCAAGTTTAGTATGAAAAACATTCGGAAAACTTTAAAAATATTGAGAAAATATTAAAAACACCGTTGCCAAATTTACTTATTCCCCAACTAAGGGATTTTCACCAATTCTGTAAATTTGTCAACGTTGCATAAGAAGAGAAACCGGACAATTAGCAACCAGATTTTTTTAAATTGTAATATGTATAAGGATTTAGGGTGTTTAGAATGAATACAGTGTTGCCAAATTCGATTTTTCGCTAAATCTAAAATAATTTTTAAAAAATTGTAATTTTCCCCAAAGCTGGGAAAAATTGATCTGACAACGTTGCCCAAAAAGGGAAACTAGCTAAAGTGGCAACACCAGATTTTTAAAAAATTATTATATCAAGTTTTGGGTGTTTAGAATGGAAAACATTTGAAAAACGTTTAAAAAATTGTACGAAAACTGCGTTGCCATATTTATTTTTTCCCAAATCTGGTATTTTACCAAACCAAAATTATTTTAAAAAAATGACTAGTGATTTTTAGCCAAAACTGGAAAAAAATGGATTCGCGAATAAATAAATGTTATTAAAAAAGTCATATGAAAACAGTGTTGCCAAATTTATGTTTCCCCAAATTTTTCCATCAACCTAAAATAATCAAAAAATAAGATTTTTTTGATTTTTCTTAATCTAGAAAAATAACCTAATATGGCAACATTGCAACAGAAGATAAACGAAATTATAAAAAAATGAGATTTTTGTAAATTTTTTTCCTCAAAAATAAATGAACAAAATGTCAAGTTTAGAATAAAATACAATAGAGAAAAGGTTTAAAACATCGAAAAATGCGGCGTTGCCAAATCTGTTTTCCCCAAATTGGCGATTTCTTACCAGTTTGACTTTGAACAAGAACTGCCCCATCTCGCTGATCCTATCGGACCCCGAGGCCCTTCTGAAGCAGTGCAAATAGTCCCTGGTGAGGATGAAGTACCTTTCCTTCCATCTGCTAAAAAGTCGGTCTCTTTGCTGCCAAAGCAGACCCCTTTTTATCGCGTGCGTCGATTCCTTGCCGAAGTTCGACGACAGGAGCGACTGAAACAGAAAAAAAAATCAATTTTTAGAATATTGGAAACATTGCTTTTTCGTAAATTTGGCAACATCGCATTTTGTAAATCCGGCAACACCGCATTCGCAAATATGGCAACATTGCATTTTGAAAATATGGCAACGTGGCATTTTGTAAATTTGGCAACATTGTATATGAAATACTTATAATTTATGTAAAATCTGTAATATAATAAAAATTAAATATCAAAAAAACCAAACCAAATTTTTTTTTCGAATTTTGTCTTTTTGTAAATTTGGCAACATCGCATTTTGTAACTCCGGCAACACCGCATTCTGTTGATATGGCAACATTGCATTTTTGCAAATATGGCAACATCGCATTTTGTAAATTTGGCAACATCAAAAAACCTTAAAGTTGTTTTTATTACTGTACTTGAAAATTGTATATGAAATATATTTAATTTATGTAAAGTCTGTAATAAACCTCAATTAAAATCAATAAAATATTCGTAAAAATTAAATATTCTAAACATCGAAAAAACGATAAATTTTTATTATTATTCAGACATTTTGCAAATTCTATTAGATAATTTGTATAATTAATATTAAACCATGGCATTATTAAATCTTGTTATTAATGACCTTATTTGCATGAAAGAGTTAAAATTTCTATAATATGCAAATTTTCTGTAGGTCCTTCGTCGTCTTGAGTAAGGTATAGTATACCTGCTACGGATAATTTATTCTTAAATAAAATTTGTTCCGTTATTATATGACAAGAATTTTTAATTAAGTCGTTAGATGGGAGATATCTTATTTAAAACGTATAAATCACCTCGAATATTTTCATAATAAACTACGTGCGAAAAAGAAAGTAAAGCATTCGAAAATATTCTGCGAAAAGTTTAAGTTGTTCCAATGGGAGTTTTTAAAGTATCCTAATAACCGTGGGACTCTTTTTTGATCCATTGAGCAGGTAGATGGAACTTTAGATGCAGTTTTCTTAAAATAAAGTTTTCAATACATAGATACTAATAAACCATTAATAACCAAAGATAACAAAATTATAAAATATTATCGATAAATGTTTCTTTTGTTGATGAGCGGAAGGAAATGCTGGTGACTTGCTGGTTGTTATCTTCACCCTGCAAAGATGATTCTTTGTTCTAAAACTCCCAATTAACAATCTAACTTAATAACAACATTGCCAAGTTTGCCGGCCCATCTAATGAACCAGAAAATTTCAAACTGCGAGATAAACTTATCGTTTCAACCGAAGCTACGCCGACATATTTTTTATGACATTGACTTTCTTCATGTTTATCTTTGTTATTCTATTCAATTCCATTGCGATACAATTGTCGCAAAATGTATCATTTACGGCTTACGTCTTACGTCAACCAATCACCAAGCACTGTGATTGGCAGACGTAAGACGTACGTCGTATAATATACATTATTATTGGATTTCAATATTTGTAATCCAGAAATATTAAATGTAGCTGATGTATGACTAATTATGACAGCTATGAATGTCCGGTTCAGTAATAAATAATGACAAAATTAGCAATGGAATTCAAAATTAATATATTCTTGTGACGTATCCTATAAATTCAACACGAGTCGACACATGAAATAAAATTAAATTAATGCAAACTTTCCACACGCATCATCCATACAGTTTTGGACTGATTTTGTTTTGTTTATTTGTTAGAATTGACGCTGTTGGCATGATATCTATAGATAGTATACTAGACACAATCTAGGCAAGCCTTTCCACTAATAATATATAATTAAGACAAATTATATTTATATAAAATTAATTCCACCAATTACAATCAATCAATCAATCGCTGAATTTGCATGCAATTAAATTTTAACGGCCGTTTAACTACATATTTAATCACCCGCAGAAATTATTTTTATCGAGTGGAAAGTCAACGTTGCCAAACTTATGCAGGTAATTACACAGTTGTCATAATATAAAAAATGCGACGTTGCCAAATTTACAAAATGCGACGCTGCCAAACTTACAAAATGCGACGTTGTTGGACTTGTAAAATGCGACGTTGCCGGATTTACAAAATGCGACGTTGCCGGATTTACAAAATGCGACGTTGCCGGATTTACAAAATGCGACGTTGTCGGATTTGCAAAAATGCGACTTTGCCGGATTGATAAAATGCGAAGTAGTAACGAAATGCGACGTTGCCGGATTTGCCAAATGCGACGTTGCCACATTCACAAAATGCGACGTTGCCACATTTACAAAATGCGACGTTGCCGGATTCACAAAATGCGACGTTGTCGGATTTACAAGGTGCGATGTTGCCGGATTTGCAAAAATGCGACGTTGCCGGATTGATAAAATGCGAAGTAGTCACGAAATGCGACGTTGCTGGATTTACTAAATGCGACGTTGCTGGATTTACTAAATGCGACGTTACCACATTTACAAAATGCGACGTTGCCGGATTCACAAAATGCGACGTTGTCAGATTTACAAAGTGCGACGTTGCCACATTTAAAATGCGAGTTTGTCGGATTTACAAAATGCGACGTTGTCGGATTTACAAAATGCTACGTTGCCACATTTACAAAATGCAAAATGCGACGTTGCCACATTTACAAAATGCGATGTTGCCAACTCTATAAATTCGGTTTTTAATGGATTTTACTGTAGATAATACATTTAATGTAATTTTTATAGTGTTGAAAACAAATTTAAGGCTTAGCAAATATAAATGGTTAAATCGTTTTTAGCGTAGTAAGACAGTAGTATAACATGTGTATTCCTTGACATGAATTCCAAATTTGGTTGGTGCCGCGTATAAGAATGAAACTCGTTTTAAGAAGACATTGCTGGAAATACATAAAAACCTACTTTTTCTCTTTTAGCAAATTTAATTGGGGTTAACAGTTGATTTTGATTTAATTTTGCACCAATTTTTGTTTATCACTAATTTAGTAGATAAGTTAAATATTTAACTTTCTAATTAATAATTGAACTATAATATTGTTTAAATTTTTTTTTAAATGAACCAATTTTGCATAATTTATAAAAATTACAACCTGTCAATTTTTTTTATTATTACGTTTTTTAATTAAACCGTAAAGCAATTTTTTTTTATTAAAAGATGTCAATTTATATCAAAGACATTTGTATGGCCTTCCCGGTCAAAGAAACATATTATCGCACACTCAAATGTTTGTGGTTCTCCACAATAAACCTTGGATTCTGTTTGCAAAAGATAAAAGTTTAAAACTCCTGAACCGATAAAAATTCAGATACGTCAATATACCGAAATATATGGTACAAATAATACACATCGATATCTTTCTTTCACTTCCCGAAGCCCCATTTAGAAAGCACGTATTTATTTATCGACAAGATATATCTCCGTCTACCGGAATACAGAGTCTGTATTACAGACGTATGTCTTTATTAAATATACAGGTTTTAAATCTAGTCTAGACCTTTTAAAATGTCTCTCAAAAATTTAAAAATATTTTTCTTTGGTTATGTTAAGGGAGTCTAATGTATTTTTTACGGTTAACCAAAACGGTTTTATAACGGTATAGATACGAAAAATTACCAAATTTAGAGAATGGTTTATTTCGTTATTTTACCTACTTACATAATAACCTTTTTGATCTACTAAGAGAATAACGTAATAAAAACAATATAAATACCACAAATTTACGTAAAAATAACGTTATAATTACTAACTGTTTGCTCTCTCTTTCTAAAACATTGACATTCGTAATTTCTTTGTTCGTTTAATTTATATTTTACAAAATGGTACTTGCAAAGTAATAAAGCCCACCCTAGAGTAAAATTAAAAAATATAACTTAAATTGTCAAATATGCCCTCTAAATATTTTACGATTTTAATAAAAATTATTGCTAGTGTAAAAATTCAACAAAACTTTAAACCTACGAAATTTTATAAAATCTTTTAAAAATCATTTAGTTTTAATAATTTTTTAATAACTAAAACTTTCCTTATTATGTATATTTTAGAAAAAATAACTTTAAAGCTTATTTTTCTTTGTTTAGTCAATATAAATAGTATTTATTACCACTAATAACCCTAAAAATACCAGACGAATAGGAATTATTTACGGTTATAAAGTGGTCTTAATATCGTAAAATTATGACTTATGAGTAACATTTACCATTAAGTAAAAATTCTGACGTTGAAATTACCGTTAAAAGTAATTTTATTTCGTAAAAATTACGTCCCTCAAAACGCTTTAAAGTGTTGAAACTTAAAATAGGTAAAAATAACATAAATAAAACTTATTAAATAAGTTTAAAAAAGTTTTACTTCAAAGTAAATTTTTACTTAAATTAAGTAATATTGACTCAAAGCTCTACGCTTTTACTTAAAATACTGCATTATTGTATAATATTATTATGTCTGTTAAACTAAACGCTTTATTCTTAAATGAAATACTGTTTAAGACCGAATAGTTTCATATAAACAATTATTTACCCCCAAAGGATTGTACAAAGGATTTGGCCAACGTTTGTTTATTAAGATATCCTTTGGTTGTTGCCCTTTGCTGTACACCATGTGTGGGTGTTTGTTGAATTATATTACACCCTTGCTAGTCTTGTGTAAAGTTCAATAAAAGCTGTATAGTATTAGAGACATGCTTGGTTCCATAATACACAATTTGTGAGTTTCAAGACATTATTCATTTAAGGTGTTTTGTCTAATATTAATTTAAAGGTGTGGCGACAGACTATTTTATTTATTCCATTGACCGTGGTTTTATTTTCGGTAAAAATTACGAATAATACGCACGAAAGCGTTAAATCATTCATTAATATGACGAATTTTGAACATCTGTGTCTGCTATTTTTGTCTCTTTTTGTTAGGTAATGGTTCTCTATTTGTGTTTTGACCAATTTTTTGTATACAATTATTTTAAATATATTTTGCATAATATATCCATATTTTATATGGTTTAAGGTTGTATCCAAGTATTGTATAATCTAAGATACTTTTAATTTAT